CAAAGCGTGAGATCAATGGGTTTTTCGTCGACAATTAGATCCAAATCGTCGACATTTGGTAGAATCTCTTCGACAGTCTGTAATGTAGTTGTGGTGGTGTTTGTGCCACAACTGGCCATTTGGGGCGTCGGAGGTGTCTCTGCCGACGGCGGCGGAGACGGTGTCTGCGGCGGAGGCGATGGCGGGGGAGAGTATACCGACGGCGGAGGGGACGGAGTCTGTGGAGACTCTGACGCCGTATCTGTCACTTCGTAGTTGTCCTCGACTGAAGTGACAGTCGAATCGATGGCAGAACTGGTGACGGTTTCTGGCGGTGTTATCACAGCGGATAAGTTGCTATTGTTGTGACCATCAATTGGCGCCTCATTCTCAGCGATGGCTTCGAGCTTAGGGTTCAGTCGACGACTAGAGAGTCGCCGCTCTGAGCGCCGAACCCTTTTGGACGGGGGTTGGCCCGACTCTAGCGGACGAGTCCTTAGGACTCTCTTAGCGCCCGAACTACCTCTGGATGTCATAGATTGGGCCGACGACGAGGCCGCCGATGGCGCCGGACTGTCCGGCTGTGAATAGTGACTCATTTCGGATACACCGGCGGAGGCTTTCATATCGGCGGCACTTCGCACGCCCTTAATGTCTGCCATCGTATCGGCGGATACTTTTTGGGGTCTAAAAATCGACAAAACAATCAATTAATTGCTGACCAAAAAATGAGTGACAATCTAATAATAATTACGCGGCGGACAGGACTTCGTTGCGGAACTCATGGAAGAGTTCAATTTCGCTCATCTCTCTGCGCTTCAACTGGTCGTACACGGCGTTCAACTCATCGACGGTCAACTGGTCCACCGCTGAGCGGCCTGAGTCGCCCCAAACCGTGTCCAGAGTGGCGTCAAAGTCGTAGGAAACCCAGTGTCCGGGTCGACGGCGGAGCTGTTTGTTGGCCACTTTCCAGTAGAGCTCTTTGTAAGCGCCTTTGCATTTGCGTTTGTCCCGCAAATACAGCGTCCGTTTGTCCGAACTGTCCTCATAGCGGGCGTCGAAGTAGTCGTGTTCCGACGGCTGGCCTCTGTTCAGTCGGCTCACCGACTTGGAGGCCGGCAACGGACCGATTGTGATGCCCTCAAGCGATGCCATGTTTTTGCTCAATACGTACCGCAGTTGAGGCAGTGTTTGCTGTGATAAACATATGGACAACAATTAAGACATTGTTTGAATATTATTGACTCATAAAGACTTTTTGAGTAATAATTACTTTCAATAGTTCCGAAGTGATTCCCGTACGGATCTCCAGCTCAAGAAGGTCTATGACTTTACTCATGAAGTCGTCCACTTTTATGGTATCGTTCTGTTATCACATAAACAATAAAAACAATTAAATTTTAGTCTAAATTTTTAATTAAATGTGTTATAAAGTGAAATAAAACACGGCTTACAATCAGCCTTTGGACCAAACCGTGCACTTTATTGCATATACTCTGCGGTTGAATACTTGAAAACAATAAAATCAATGACAAATAGACTCCACATTCGTTGAGAGCCTTCCTCGACGGCTCGTCTGACGCGTAAACAGAGTGTTTGCTAATAACTAATTTACCACAAGATATTGACAAACAATTACTTCATCGCAAATGACATAATTAACTGCAAAACTTACAATCAATGGACAGCAGAGAGAAAGTGGAATACATCAAAACAATAGGCTTCGAGACAAACTCCGGCTCATCATCACCGGCCATGTCTTCGCCTCCTTTCCGATTGATTCCCATCTGTGGTCGCGAAGAACACCATTAGTTAATACCAATCATAAAGACAATGACAACACAAACACTACTGACCAGAAGTCGGTCTTTGGTTTCCTGCGAAATAGCAGTATTGGAGAAGATCTCTGTTTGCGATTTGGGCTTAAAGTATGGCAACCAATACTAAACACCAAAAAATTAGATCATTAGTTAATTTGATTCGCTAAACATAAACGCGTCAACCAATTACCTCCAGAACTGGAACCATGAGTTCGGCCTCTGGACAGCCCACCACTAGATTGAGTTCAAATTGAAACTCTTTGACAGTCATGTTTGAGACCTATGTTTAAATTAAATCATTGAATCAATTTTTCAATCAAAAAAGTAAACACCAAATCGTGACCCAAAAAAATGTACCAAATATTTTACAAGTATCTCAAAGAACTGAGTGAAGGGAATCGGATCCTTCTTCTTCATCAAGAGTTTAATGTAATTAATGAACAAAATGTCGAATACGTTGGAAGCGGTCGATCTCTCTCTCTCTCTCTCTCTTACCGGAAGTATACAATAACTTATTGTTTATGAATTTTTGATATACAAATACATAATTATTAATTAAAGCTAACTACGTGTACTTAATATAAAGTACAAGTGTTGTACACTTTACTAGTATAGCACCGATTGAATAATACAAATAAATATAATAATTATCAGTACACAATCAGGGGATTCCTTGTATTCATGGCTGGGATTTCCTATACAACTATTTATATCACATTTACAATGGATTATGTCATAGAAATTCGTGTTAAAATTTTATGAATTTTATGGTTTTTAATAAAATGTATTTACTTTATTCACACCTCATTCACAATTGAATTATATTTCTTGTAATTCATGACAGACTTTGCATTTAAAACACTTGTAATAAAACAATTTCGCAATCAATTGGAAAATGTCTTTAAAAAGTTTATTATCGTGTTTTTTTTATCAAGTATTTTACAGAAATAAGTTTTTTTAAAGAGAAATCAAAGAATCAGTAGAAAATGCATGAGTTATTAATTTTTTAAATACATTATTAATGATTTCCTTTTTATACAGTACATTTAGTATGCAATGTATTACCGGTTAGTTTAGTGCCATTGATATCAATGGTATCTCTCTAACAAATCTAATACAAGTGAAAAAACATGTTTACTATTAATATTGAATCGTGTGATTGAATTCAATTGAAATCTATGCACACATTTCTCAATCAAATCTCATTTTAGTCATATTATAATATAATATTACATAATATTGTAAAAACAAAGTTTTATTATGTTAAAAAATCAATTTTATTTTTATTTTACATAATTTTGTCGATTTATAATGTGTTATGTAACTATCAATTAAAGTTATGTATTTTAATTAATAATATCTTAACTGCTTGACACTAACCAATCAAATTATACACCTTATAAATTACCATGCAATAAATATTTAATTTATTCAGCTGACCCTGGGCGGTTCAATGCCGCAGTTTAATGATGAATATTAATAAACATGCTTGATAATTTTTTGAACAGCGAATGTTATTATGCTAACAAAAACTACCGAGAACCAATTAATGAATATTTTATATACATTAAACTAAACATATTTTACATTAAATTAAAACATGATTTAAATTAAAAAAATTTCCGCCAAATAAAAAAGTTTTCCCATAATTTGTTAAAGTTTTAGAGCAAAACGTTTGGTACTATTTATAACATACAAAACATGATATTAAAAGTATAACAATAAAAAGTACCAAAATTACAGCACAAAACTAAATTGACCTACATTAAACTGGATTAACTATAATTGTAAAATTAAATTTCTAATTACCATCTAGCTTAACAATTAATATAATTATACCCGGGTAACTAAACGCTATACAAGAAACAAGCATGATCAAACAGGGTAACCAATAATAAGCGGCTTAACGTACTCTATGTGTTGACCGTTATGTCATAAATGGGTTAATACAGTCAGTCGTGTCATTGCTGTTGGCCGACACGCCTACTTTCCACAGTTATTGAAGAGCTTTAACCCTCGTTCTGTATCGTAAACCAATTTTGTCGAGTGAAACGGATTGTATTGACAAACAGCCATAAGTTTTTACATAAATGTTTGAAATAAATGAATTAAGTGCACACAATTAATTATAATCTAATAAGTAAAGTAAATAAATCTTTATATAATAATTATAATATTACATTAAATATAATAAAAATAAAGTTCAAGCTTAATGAGTAAAATGCCAAAAAAATTTACATTTTTTATTCGAAAATTAATTATCATTGTAATCATAATTAAAATTGATATAAATAATGTTCAGTTATTACGTTATTCATAATAAAAAACGTACATAACTGATAATAAATTTCTTAATTTTGATATAACTTTTATCGATTGCAAGATTTAAGATATTCCTTCGCATTTCAATTCTACTCATCTATACCTTTCAATTGATATATAATATAATATGGTTATTTATGAAATAAAATATTTGATTTTAAAAATTTTAAGTAAAATCGGGTTTTTTTTAAATTTAAAATTCACTGTATAATTATACTCTAAATCTGATTTCAGCATGCTAAAGCCAAATATTGTAGAATTGTTTTGTGTATATAAAGTTATAATGAATTAACTTGATATATTTTTTAATTTAATGTTTTTACAGACTAATATTTTTATAGAAAACTAATAGAGTGTTTATAATTAAAATATCATATAAAATTGCAATAATTCCCTTACTAATAAAGTTAATACAGTATAATATAATTTTATACACAAATATGGAACACTAGTGTGTATATGAAAACAAAATAATTTTGTCCTAGCTCAATGATATAATTAAGCAACATGTGTACAGCAAAAACTGAAAGTTGTAAGGGGTATGTGCAAAAGTGGAATAGCTTGCATCCAAGAGATATTTTATATACTGAAAGTACTTGATCTACAGATTTTAGTGGTATACTTCATATGGTAAAGTGACCTCGGGTTTGGCCGCAGTGACCACTTTTATCGGTAAAATTTTAAAATCAAATCTTTTATTTTATAAATAACCATATTATATTATATATCAATTGAAAGGTATGGATGAGTAGAATCAAAATCTAAAGGAATTTCTCAAATCTGGCATAATCTATAAAAGTTATATCAAAATTAAAAAATTTCGTATCAGTTATGTACGTTTTTTTATAGTGAATAACGTAATAACTGAACATTATTTATATCAATTTCAATTATGCTTACAATGATAATTAATTTCTCAAATTAAAAAATATTAAATTTTTGGCATTTTACTCATTAAGCTTGAACTTTATTCTTATTATATTTAATGCAATATTATAATTACTATATACTAATTAAATCAATTGTGTGCACTTAATTCATTTATTTCAAACATTTATGTAAAAACTTATGGCTGTTTGTCAATACAATCCGTTTCACTCGACAAAATTGGTTTACGATACAGAACGAGGGTTGAAGCTCTGCAATAACTGTGGAAAGTAGGCGTGTCGGCCAACAGCAATGACACGTTTGAATACAGTAAAGGCTGTCATAATTTGTTATAACAGTTGACTTCGCAATCAAAACAATACTGTTTTTAATCGCATTGAAAGTGACGTAAAACACAAATTACTGTTAGTTTTAACACTTAATTACAGTTAAGTATTAATTATATTACCATTAATTGTCTCATCAATAGCTATGAACGCAAAGCCACGTGACATGTGTTTTCAGTGACCATCCGTTTGGACATGTGTTTCAAGAAAAAAGACAAAAGTGTGTCAAATGATCGTTCGTGAACATCACCGCAGCTGATCCCACATTCACCACCCATTGACACACACGAAGACATAGCCATCATGAGCATCTATCACAACCCAAATGACAAGTTGTATTACTACTGTGTGTTATGCGGCTATAACTCGACCCCCAATCAACTCCTGGCGCACATCCGGAGCCGTCACAAGACATTGAACGCCGAGAAGCGGCCCGACGTTCACCAACTGATCGCCGATCGGATCGATTACTGCCGCCAATTGAACGCCAATTTGACGGCTGCCAACGGTTCCGCCATTCAGTCGCTGCCGGCCAACAATGTCCACCAACTCTTGGCCGCCGGCGAGGGCTGTATGACCTGCGACTCTATCGTTGGCTTCTATCGATTGGACGCCTGGTCTGCGGCCAAGCCGTTGAATAAGTGCGGCTGCGGTCAGAAGAAACCCGGTCTCGTCGAGTGCACCCGATGTCAGAACCGGTTCCACTGGAGCTGTCACGAGAAGGTGCCCATCAGTGGCTACGCGGGTAGATATTAGCGGCGATCGTTTGTTTTGTATTTTTATTAACGTTTTCCCGAAATGTCTTTTAGGCCACGATTTTGGCGCCTATTTATGCAAATACTGTCGTTCGCGGGACTTCATGATCATTGGCCGCAATCATTTGTCACCGCATGAACTGCTGCTTCACCTGCGCCTCCACTACCACTACGCGCCACTCAAGTGCTTGGGCTGTATGGACCGGTTCCCGGGCTACGCCGCTCTTCGCCTACACATTCAGGCCCGACACGGGAATAGCAAACTAGCCATCGATAAGGGCTGCAACACGTTGTGGTCATTCGAGCCGATCGCCGAACTCGAGGCTCTTATCGCCAAAGCGGGCATCGATTCCCGGCTGGACTTCATTGCGCACACGTCGTCACCAATTGGTACTGAAATGGTCGATAACTTTGTGTCCATTTAACTAATGATATACTTGTGTTTAGTTGTGGGTAACGTCTCTCTAAGAGAGGCATTGCTTTCCACCGCTTCCGGGAATACATTGTCGGCGACCACTCCTTCTTCTTCTTCGACCACCGCTTCCCCAGCACTCGTTGATCTCACAGATGAACCAAACTCTCCGCCACCCGTTATTCCCGCCACCGTTACGTCGGCGCCGGCGGTCAACATACAGCCCGCACAACACATTTACTTCATTAACACATTAAGTATGAAAGTGTTTTGTGTTAAATATGTCTAAATTAAGTATATGTTGTATGTATTGATTGCCCCGAATAGCCTCTGCAACCGGACATTTATTGTACACAAATATCGCTCAACAAACACCTTCGGCATCAAATGTCGGCCCAACTCTAGCGTCAAACGTCGGTCAAAGTCTAGCCGCCCGTCTCACCCATTCTCTGGGCTTACAAAACGTCGCGCCGCCCTCTCAGGCCACAAACGCCGTCCAATCAATACCTCAATACAATGTGATCAAAAACATACCGCCGCGATTGGCCAAAGTCATCGTTACAGTTAAACAAGTATTGAATTCAATTATCTGTCAATTGATGCCATATTAATGTCTAATTGTTTTGTCTCTTATTTTGCTGACCAGTTGTCTGATTTGAATCTATTCAATGGCGGTGGTGCCGATCAGGCGTTCAACTTCTTTACCAAACATCTCATTCAGTTAGTAATGAATCAATTGATTGATTGTTTTAAAGCCCAAAATAATTGATTATTAACTTTATTGTCGCTTTGTTTTTGTGTCACAGAATCGAAAAGCTTTGCCACGCATTGAATGTGACGAACCAAATGAAACAAACCGTTTACACTTTATTGTCGACTGCGCTGTCCATTCCGATGGCAGACCTCATGCAACGGACAGCGAGCGCCTACAGCGAGCACATGATCCACAAGAATAGGACTCACATTAAGAAACTTGTGGACCAACTCATCGTACGGACAGCGTTCACGTCCCAGAAGACGGCGCAGGAGTTCCAGTTCACCGAAGACTTAGTCAAACTATTGAATATAACGTATTTCTATAAAATGAAACAATATTTTCGGCTTAAGATCGACAATCCGGCTCCGGATGAGTATTTGTTGAACTTCTTGTCGAACGCGATTCTACCGCTTTGGTCGACGGGAAACATGACTTGTCAGCGATTGATCCAAAATGTCGACAGTCGGGAACTGAAGCGTTTGTTTTCCCCGTTAACGGAATCCCAATCAGCCGCTCAAGAGGTCTCTATTGGTTCAGCGCCCGTATCCGTTAACGTGTCGCCCGCAGCGGCCGTTGTGTCCGACGCCGAAGTCATTGATCTATCGTTTGATTCGGGCGATGAAGAGGTGGCCGGAGAACAACAGGCTTCGGAAGCCGAAGCCGTGGTAAACGTTGCGGTAAATGAGATTCCGATTGAGACAATCGGCGAACCAATGAATGAATCAATTGCTGTGATGAACGACTCGTTGGACGTATCGATGGACACGACAAACGACCCTTTGAATCAGTCGATGGAAGTGACGCACGAAGAAGCAGATACAGTGTCTGCGGTCGCGGCTACAGCCGACTCTTCACCAATACGTGTCCAGAAGTTCAAGAGGTTGTGCATAAAGTTGGGTCACATATCGTGTGTGTATTGCATTAAATTCGACACAACGGGCCGATACGTGTTCACCGGTTCCGACGATTATCTCATCAAAGTTTGGTCAACACTCGACGGCCGACTAGTGGCCACACTTCGCGGCCACGAACACGAGATCACCGACATAGCCGTCAGCCACGACAACAGCCTACTGGCCACGGGTGACATCAATTATCTCATATTCATTTGGTGTTTGAAGAGCGCCCGAGCGCTACAAGTGCTGAAAGCGCACACAAAACAAATCACTTCATTGGCGTTCTGTCCGCTGACACAAACCACGGCCTCGTATTTGGTGTCGACCGGCGATGACGGCCGGGTCTGCTTCTGGCGCTTTGACTCACAGTCGCGCGCATTCAACGCTACGCCCGACCCGGAGATCATTGAACAGCACTCTAAGAAGTCCGGCATTTCGTGCTCGTCGTTCTCGGCCGGCGGTCATCTGCTGGCCGTCGGTTCCACCGACTCTTACATCACTATCTATGCGGTGGACAATACGACCGGTCCGCAGAAGATGCTGTCCATGAAGTACCACTGGGGACACGTTGATAGGTATTAATGACAGATCAATGGTATTTCTCTTTGTCACTAATCACCGGTTCATTTGATCCGCAGAATTCATTTCAGTCATAATAGCCTACGGTTTGTCTCGTCGAGTAATAACGTGTTCAGTGATAAAGACATTGACAAAGACAACGCCTTCATCTGGCATATGGTGGACAACTCGTGGGCAGTGATACCCATCAAAGTGTACTTACAGATCGGTGACACGCGTTATAATTATAAGACACTGATCCACGAGATGGAGTGGACACCCGATGACCAGTATGTGGTCACTTCGTTGACCGACTACTCTATCAAAATCTGGAACTCAACTGATGGCCAACTATTGCACGTATTGAGCGGACACGACGACGAGATACACGTGATTCAATGCCACCCAACGCTTCCTCACATATTCTTGTCGGCCGGTTATGACGCCAAAGCTATCCTCTGGGACCTGACCAAAGGCCGGCCGCTGAAGACTGTAAGTCCCAATGAGTTCAATCGATTACTGGTTTTATATTAAAGAGTTTTAATTGGTTTTTACCATTCATTTTTCGGCCCGCAGTTCACCAATAAGAAGGGCCGCGCGATTCTGGACGCCTCGTTCAGCCCCGACGGCCGAATGTTGGCCACAGCCGACTGTTACGGCCGGTTCGCGCTGTACGGCGCCGGCGATCTGGAATGACACAAACCACGGCCTCGTATTTGGTGTCGACCGGCGATGACGGCCGGGTCTGCTTCTGGCGCTTTGACTCACAGTCGCGCGCATTCAACGCTACGCCCGACCCGGAGATCATTGAACAGCACTCCAAGAAGTCCGGTATCTCGTGCTCGTCGTTCTCGGCCGGCGGTCATCTGCTGGCCGTCGGTTCCACCGACTCGTACATCACTATCTATGCGGTGGACAATACGACCGGTCCGCAGAAGATGCTGTCCATGAAGTACCACTGGGGACACGTTGATAGGTATTAATGACAGAAATTAATGGTATTTCTCTTTGTCACTAATCACCGGTTCATTTGATCCGCAGAATTCATTTCAGCCATAATAGCCTACGGTTTGTCTCGTCGAGTAATAACGTGTTCAGTGATAAAGACATTGACAAAGACAACGCCTTCATCTGGCATATGGTGGACAACTCGTGGGCAGTGATACCGATTAAAGTGTACTTACAGATCGGCGACACGCGTTATAATTACAAGACACTGATCCACGAGATGGAGTGGACACCCGATGACCAGTATGTGGTCACTTCGTTGACCGACTACTCCATCAAGATCTGGAACTCAACTGATGGCCAACTGTTGCACGTATTGAGCGGACACGACGACGACATACACGTGATTCAATGCCACCCAACGCTTCCGCACATATTCTTGTCGGCCGGTTATGACGCCAAAGCCATCCTCTGGGACCTGACCAAAGGCCGACCGCTGAAGACTGTAAGTCCCGATGAGTTCAATCGATTACTGGTTTTATACTAAAGAGTTTTAATTGGTTTTTACCATTCATTTCTCGGCCCGCAGTTCACCAATAAGAAGGGCCGCGCGATTCTGGACGCCTCGTTCAGCCCCGACGGCCGAATGTTGGCCACAGCCGACTGTTACGGCCGGTTCGCGCTGTACGGCGCCGGCGATCTGGA